TTCATATTAAAGCCACTTAGAATATCCATATGAAAAAGAACTTCATGAAACTTTACTAGAAAATATGCTAATACTGAAATATAAGTTTAAAAAATGTAGCCAAGTCTTCTTCCTTAAGTTGATTCAAGTGAAGCCAATTTTTAATTAGGGATCTTCTCAAGCTTCTCCTCGCATCTTTTTTTTTTCTTTTCTTTTTCAGGATCATTTTCAATCATTTTTTTTATTATTTTTCAAGATCATTTTCAATATTTTTTTTATGTGAGAATTATTATATCTGGATAGCCTTTAATGATTTTGAACTTCACTATCCTCTTCTTAAAGTTAAAAACTTTTCACATTTCTTCACTTTATAAATTTATACTAGCTTTAAAGATTTTTTATAAAGTTTTATTCTTTTCTTCTTACATGAATCCCTAAGATTTTTAATACTTCAAAAATACAAATTCCTTTACTTATAATTGAAAAAGATAGTCTTATTCTATCCTACCAAATATTTTAAGCTCTAAAATTAACCTTTATTAGGTCCTCCCACCTCCTGCTCCTTCCGTCTAGGACGGCGCCGCTTCCCCTGTCGGCAGCTGGAAACCTTTTTCTTCCGTAGTTCACCGCCTCCATCTCCGACACTCGTGTGAGGTCATCCGAAGCCATTTACGAATCTACACCCTTAATCATCCATTTTCCAAATTCTCCCTCAAAACATCAAAAATCATCATAAAATCCCAACCCCGATCTTTCATTTTTATCAAATTCTGAATAGAAAATACATCCATTCTGCATTTCAAAAATATCAAGTGAATACTAAATTTTATAAATAATAATATTTCATGGTGCTATTTAATTATCTCTTTAATGAATCTCAACATAATATTAATAGGAAGTGTATGTGTCATATATATATATATATATATATATATATATATAAGATGGAGTTTGGAGTGGCGGCTGGCTTTGAGGTTACTCTGCTAGGGTTTCCATGGATTTCCTGATTTTGTGGTTGCTAACTGGTTCTTTCTCTTCTTCTAGTGGCTTCTCTTTCTTCTAGATCTTTTACTTGGTTTGTTGTTCTAATTTTTTGCTTACCGGGAAACTATTTTTTAATCAATTTAAATAAAATATTTTGACTTAGCTTTCTCCATAAGTAAGAGAAAGTTCATTCAAAATAAAAAAAAATGTAATTGTAAAATGTCATTCATTTTTTATTTGGTAAAAGCTCTTATTTAATGAATCCAAGAAATACTTATCAAATAAATTAGTTTAAGCTCACCCTTGAAGGTTTCAACCAAGGGAGGAAGGATACCTTCAGGAAAGCACTCAAATTCTGCATAATCTCTACCTGTAGCAGCCTCCAACTCTTCTCTGCTCCAAAATTCTCTTCAAGAAGCCCTAAAAATCCTTCTTATAGCAAGAAGCATACATTTGGCAAGCAAATCGTTTTCCAAAAATGTGCTCCCGCTCGTTGGAATGATCACCCCCAAAAATGTCATCGTCATGCCCAAAACTTTTGTGGTCACGCTAATCCCGGTGAAGTATAGTTGTGTAAAGTTTTATAAGTTGACTTCGCTTTACAACGGTGCCAAAAACTTGATGTGGTATTTTATGAATAATAACATTAAGCACTTAATGTTTGGATTCTACACAAGTATACGTATTGTTATCAAGTGATATAAAACTTTCTATTTAAGTCCCAAATATCAATCCCACGAGGAAGGTTTAAATTTAAAATGATAAATTAACTTGAAAATCACAGATATAAAACAAATTTATTGTCACTAATTTTGAATGTTTGAGATACATTCAAAACTAAATTATTAACTACTAGCAGAATTTAAATGTAGAGTTTAGAATAGTAACTACTAAACTATGTTTATGTGATGAAGTTTTTTAATATGAAAAAATATATTTCCCACTAATTTCCCACTACAATGAGTTCCCACTACAATGAGTTTTTGGTGAAATGATGAGATAAATGGTCTAAATTTGTATAGTGTCAAATAAGAACACTTTTAATTCTCTACTGTGATTCAGTGTTATAGAAAAGCATTGGCTAATCTCAGGTTTAGTCCCTAAATTTGTTGCTAGGTTAGGAGGATACTGGCTCTCACTCCAGAGCTCCCACTTCCCTTCCCCTGAAGGCTAACTTTCTCTTTAGTTCTTAAACACTAAGATCAAATTGGGGATTTTTAGTTTGTCACCCTAGAAATCTCCAATTCTACACCCAACAATGTATATTTTCCTATTTATTTGCACTTAATTCTATGAACGAAATGCTCCTTCATGGACTTAAATGTGATTCTCACTTTGTTGTAGAACTCATACTCCATTTCCTGGATCATATGTTTCACAACATAATTTAACAATTCAATTGGCCAAATCGAAAAGTAAATTAAGAACGGAGTTGAAAAACCATCACAATTTATTTTATATTTTAACATTTATATTTTAACATTGGCACATCCAAATTATCTATTCATTTCACCATATCTCAGAGTAAGAGAAAGATAAAGGAAATTACTCAGACTTCATGAGAAAGATACAACAAAAC